GGTAAGCTTGATCATGCAGAGAGGTTCAAAATCCATTACCAGCAGCCTCTAGTGGCAGTAGTTATTATGACTAGACAAAAACAGATCATTAAGTATAAAGAAGAGCAACAAAGTCAGTACAGGGAGGAATTTGGGTAGATAAATGGGTCAAACAAACACACTGCTGTTTGTGTCCAATTGAAATTAAAACCTAATGTTGACTTATTTTTACTCAGATAACGCACGTGAAAGACTTAATTGATATGACCTTACTAAAGTTACCTAACAAACCCACTCATTTTACCTGAAACCATCAACTATTCCAAAATCTAAACAAGTATTTTGTTTAATTCACGACATTAACCACGTGTCTACAATTGCGACTGTTTCACATGGTGGGGGAAGGTGCAGTTTGCCCTGTCTGAAAATGTTAAATGTTAAGGATAACAATTGATAACGACTACTCAATGGGCTGATAACATTCAAAAAGAGAGTATACACACAAGTGTTTTGATTGGTTTTACTCACGTATTCTCTGGCCTTCAATACTTACCACCAATAACCAGAGGAACCACTATTACAAGAATACTTCTTAGTATCTGAAACTCAATACCACATTTCCTTCAAGCCTAGTTTCCATCTGTTGCACAGAGATGTTATCTTAATATGTTTTCTAAAGTGGTTAAAAAGGTGTCACTTTTAACCAAGTGATGGTTTTATTGTAAATATGACTAGCACAAAATGTGGCATATACAGTAGAAGCTGCTCTCAATGATGGTATCATGGTATCTTCAATCAACATGACAATTATTTATGTTAAAGGCTAACTCAGGTTTAATAAGCTGTATTTTTATTCGCCTTCTTTTCTATAAAAGTGTAATGCTAAATTCGCTAAACTGGAATATCAAAGCCCAATGAGGCCAAATATTAGCCTTCTTCTTACCCCCTTTGACTTAGTAACATTTGTATCTATACTACTGTAAATTAAAGAGAACATTATTTCACAATATAGTATCTCTTGAGACATTGACAGTGACATGTTTTTTTTTTCTTCCAGGGTCTCCAAGAAAGATTGATGGTTCTCTTCCCTCAAGACGTGCTGCTACTGTCAGTCGACAACAAGCGTCTGAATATAAGATATGAGGTAGTGTAAAATGACTCCAGGGGAAAAATCCATAATAATACCCCCTCAACCGCTGTGGCATAACTCAGTCATCTTTAACTTGGTCTGTAGACACATGACATTAGGCATGTCCTACAACACTTGATGCATTTCAGTCAGTAGCAAATATGAGGTTCTTCTGGTAAAAGCATGATACATTTTTCAAAAATGTCAAGTATTTCCTTATCTTCTGTCATCTCCAACAGGGCCGGTTGCCCCGACAGAGCATCAGAGCGGTGGAGAGGTCAGCTCTGCCTGGGCGGCTTGAGTTTGAGCTGATAGGTATACAGAGAGCGAACACGTGACATCTATTTTATTTTTTGTTGTAAATACATTTTCTGTAAATCAGATGAGTAATACAGGTATTTAATGTAATAAATATTTCGTTTTAGGAGAGCTGGTTGAGCCCCTGCAGGTCTCTTGTACCTGTTACGAGGATTATCGGAACTGGATGTTTCAATTACAACAGGTCAGAACCGCTGTCTATATAACATTGTTTAGAATAATCCATTGGCTGTGAAACATTAGCTAAGAGGCTAAAAAGCTAAGTAGAGCTGAGGGAAACTTCAGAACTGGTGTATTATTTAAGGCTTTACAAAAACCTTTTTACTGATATATTAGTTGAACGCTTAACAGCTAATGGTAAATATATTTTTCTCAGTGGTTGGTGGAGCCCAAAACAAAGCTAAAAGAGAGTTATCATTTTTGCGTCCTATCAACAGGATGTGCCAATTCTGATTCAAGCTTCTTGCTTTGCATTGCTTTACCTCCCCATTCAGCCATACTGTATGTGTAATGCAGTCCATTAAACCTTTAGTATATAAATGGTGTGTATAGTTTGTTGCTATTGCCCCCAAGTGGCCACAAAATCTGTATGTTTAAGTTTTGGAAGCCAATTTGTTTGAAAACATACTGTATGTCCACATCCCCTTTCACACTGTACAAATGGGAACATGTGCACACAAAACTTGCACAAATACGTACATACACACCTTTAACAACTGCACATGCTTTGAAAATGCACACATGCCAACCGAAAACGTGCACATCTGTATTAAAAAATGTGCACATAAGCACCAAAAAATCCACAGCTGGATATACAATGGTTTCAATGTCTACGTACAAATTGGCCTTCCGAATTTAAGATTTGAGACCTCCCATTTTAACCCATTTACTACCCATCTTTTCATCTACTGCTGACAAATTTCTATTGCATCCTGCAGATTTACATTTCATTCCTAATGTTGGGCAGCCACTGGTTTGGATTAGTTTAGTTTAGTATGAAAATGAACTTGTAGGAACTTGTTTGGGATCAAAATCATTCTGGTTTAATCCAATGACTGTAAAGAGTGTAATGTCAATCGGGTCATTCCAACGTGAGGCATTACTTCTCAATTTGACACCGTATGAGTCAGTAATGGATTTATTGAGGTTGGGTTTGCATGAAATATTCATGTGTGCCAAAGGGATGTTGAATACCTTAAATCCCCAAAAAGCTCAACAAGATTTTCTGTTTGACCTGCAGCCAGACAGAAACAGCCACGTTGCAGCGAGTCACGCTCCTCCTCCCATCATGCCCAAGCTGCAGAGGAGCAGGAAGGAGTCCCAGGAACCGATGATAACGGCGGACCAACGTCACATCAACGGACGCAGCTGAGTTACCTGAAGGTGGAAAATCTGAAATAATGTGTAGATAGTGTGTACATATCACTTTGAGTAATGTTGATACGAAATGGAGACAACAGAGGAGGAGGGTCTGAAATATGATCACCGTTTTACAGTGTTCGCTTTGATGTGGGGACAAACAGGAAGGTCATGACCCAGTTTAACAGCGGTAGACATGTTAGTGTAGAGATTGTAAAAGTTACTGAAGAAAATAGTGTTGAGGAAATTGTACATATTAAGCTTGGATGTAATTAAAATGAAATGCACAAGGTTTGAATTTTTGACAATAAATTCTTTGATTTAAGTTTTGAAAGTCATTTATTCAACACATAAAATGAAAGGATCTGTATTTATTTCCATGGTTAAACATTTACAGTAGTGTGCAGAGATCCAGTAAACATCCAGTGTATTACAGTATTTATAATGTGGTATTAGAAATGAAAATTATAAAACAAAGTTTATAGTAGTGGAATGTAATTGTAAAATGTATTACATTTTTGTTCATATAAATTACAGTCAAAATAGTAACTGAACCATTTTCTACTTTTACACATGAAGCCATCTACAGTAAAGTACATTTACATCAGAATCTCCTTAGAGAACAACCAGCTAGAGGAGTATAAATACACATGCTGCAACAGCAACCACTTAAATTACAACTAACAACGCATATATAGAAATAAAAAGGGGTTATAAACATGTAATGTGCCACTGGAAGAGTTGATTATAGTGGTTCATTAACAGCAGGTCACAGCTCAGTTACACTGCGCTTTTGGACATTTGTACACGTATAAGGGGACCGATTTATACCGAAATGTCATTCAGTGCTTCGTGTATGACAGTATTACTTGGCCCTGTATGATTAGCACAACACAACATAGTCTAGCTTTTATTCAACTGGGGCTAAAGCTTAAAAAGTAGTAAACAGGAAGCACAATGTTGTACTTTCACCACAAAAATGGTGATGTTAATGCGTCAAGAGGTGATATCAGTAGGTGTCAATTTCCAGACATTTAGTTGTATTTTTTGACTGTCAACAAATACCATGAAATAAAAGAAAACACCAAGCCTCTGTTAACTGTCTGTGGCCTTCAGCTCCGAGCCAAACCGGTTCCTACTGGTGACCGAATTCTTTAAAATGAGACAGAAACACAAGTGGGCTTCTCAAGGGCTTCCTCGACTACCTTTTTTAAAAATATATTGTAGCGTAAATGCAATCTCCAGAAGCAAATAGCTAAAGTTATGTTATAAACAAGCTAAATCACGGATGCATGACTTGATGTTCCCACGGCTAATGTTTAGCATGATGAGGTTTAGCATGATGAGGTTAGCAGCCGCGGCTTTTAAGACACCACATCAGACATCCATGGTTTGGGTTTTTACTGATATATTTTATGTCGTACAACAACAGGAGAAATTCCTTGAGTTTTATTGAAAATAAAATAGAGAGATGAGGAAACCCCCAAGTGCTAAAATGCTAACTCGTTTTCTTGCACCACACTCTATATATAATTTCAATATTACAAAGGCTTAATTGTTCACTTAAACAGCTGGTCACTCTAGTTTTCAGCACATTTGACTGAAACTAAAGTAAGTAGTGCATTAGTTATGGACTATTTCTAGCGGTGGAGGAATACAGTGATCTAGAATCAGTAGTGGTACATTTGGGGTACATTCCAGTGTGTGTGTTCATGGTAATGATGTCACATACTGTACTGTACTAGTGTGATCAAGTTTGTGTTTCTAATGGAAAACTATGGAGCTTTATGGCACACAGGAAGATATCAGGAAGTAGCCACACTAATAATACTTGTCAGAAAGATAAAGTACATTGTTGTTCGGCAGTGGCTCAGTCAGTAGGGGCTTGGACTGGGAGCCGTAGGGTCGCTGGTTCAAGTCCCCGACCAGACCTAAATATGGAGTGTGGACTTCTACTTGGAGAGGTCCCAGTTCACCTCCTGCCCTGCCCTGCCGTGGTGCCCTTGAGCAAGGCACCGGACACCCCCCTTCCCCCCTCACTCCCATTGCTCCCCGGGCGCTGTACAATAGCTGCCCACTGCTCCTAGTACTAGACTCCTGGTACTAGGATGGGTTAAATGCAGAGGCCAAATTTCACTGTGTGTGCTGTGTGCTCTGCATGTGACCATTAAAGAGGGTTTCATCCCTCCCAATTCTATTCTATTCTATTCTGTTCTTTCGATCTGTTCGTGGGATTTCTTGACAATAATAAAAATACAGAATATAGACAGTGTAATGCTTTAGTCAGATTAGGAACAACAGAAGTTGTGTGGTGCAGGCTTGTTTAGAGGAAAGTCTGTCCTTCATTTGTGTTTCAAAGAATTGTGAAATCATTAGAAAAATTAAAAATAAACCATCATTCTGCAGCTGCCTTATCTAGACAACCATCAGAGTTCATGCAGTCTTAAAAAACCAGTTACTACAGACAGACATTGACAGTGCCTAAGGGGAGGGAGTCGTTCTCTTAATAAGGGGCAAACATGTTTTAACAGTCCAACATTTAACACGTGGAATTAATAAACTGTTGCACCAGGCTTTTATTTATTTCAGTAACTAGGGCACATGTTTGTTGAATACGTGGACTGCTTAAAAGGGAATCTGTCCATATGAGACATGACAGGATAAAAACTAACTCTGACATCAACCAAGGAATGATAACATGTATTTCTTGTGCTGGTAAATGTGCATGTTTCTCAGGCTTTTGAAATGGTGATGGGTGCATTCATAGAAAACAGTCATAAAGTGATTGAGTGGCAAAAATGTTAGAACTGTCCTGGTGGAAACGTTTGTCTACAAAGTCATTGTATAAAAACCTTTTAATCTAAAAATGGACAAGGGCATCAAAAGCTTTTTAATTTCCACTTTCATCCAGCATGCGAAAATGTTCTCACAAGGTAAAAAGTGTTGGATGTTTAAGCACCTGCGTACTCAACATATTTTCGGTCCCACATCCATCCACAACTTCCTCCCACATTTGTTGTTTCCAGTTATTTGTATTCCTCCATAAGTGTAATGTTTTACTTCTCTGACTAATTTGGATTTCTCGTCTTCTTTTTTTCTTGAGCAACAGTAAAAAACACAATCAAGAGGCCAAATTGGTGAGAAGATGCAGATATCACTAATTATAAGTCTTTCATTATGGTAAAATCTCTTTTCATGCAAAAAATGCCATAAGAAAACCTTTAAGATTCTGTGCACCACTCTTAAGCAAGTCCCTTAGCTAAGGATAAATTAAGCCCAAAGTGTAGGACTTGAGGAGGAAGCATTTGGAGTTTTGTGTAACTTTAAGTGCAACTCAGCAAGTGAAATGCACCTTCGACAAGCTGCAGTAGAAGCGTCAGTCGCCCCCCTTCAGTTTCTGCGTGACACATTTAATGCGGATATTTTCCCGGAGGTTGCGGAGGCGAGCGCTGCGACTCGTGATTTCCTCCACGTAGGTTTTGGGGAACCAGCCCCGCTCCCCGTCAGATAGTCTGATGCCCTCCACCCAGCCTGGAGAAAGATTAGATAACTCAAGACATTGGAGAAACCCCGACACACACACACACACAAAAGTGGAGTTGATCCCAATCCTTACCATCACTTGTAATGGTCTTAGCGTGAAGAATGTCGGCCTTCTCCAGGGTTAGCTCGTCGTGCTCCTGGGCCTGATAGCTTTTGATGCACTGAACTTGGGCTATATCTGAGAGGGGAACACACGAAAATGATGAACGACAGGATGAAAAGGTTTAAGATGATTCATTTTTAGGCGGCATCCGGAAGATCTTTGACATCCTTGTGAATAATTATTATTTAATATAATCATTTTTTGTCATTTGGAGGGCCAGGTTGTAATTGTATTATCTTTTTATATCTCTACACAACATATGTTGCACAACATCCTCCTTCGTTGCTCTTCCAGAGGTTTTAAAAAAATGTTGAGATCACCCCTGAGGAAGCTAACCCATTTAGCTCAGCTGTAGCATTTCCGTTGGAGCTGCCATTTTGTTGTTGATGTGTCATGTGTAAGTGTAATATGCGCCCGTCTCCATCACAAGATTACTCAAGTAAGACTTGTAGTTGAGTCTTGATGAGCCAAATAATACCAGAGAAAGACTTTCTGTTAAACAGCAGAAGGGTCCCAGAGGGTTATTCCATTTGTTTCCTATTCTGGGGATTTCTTTGGGAGTTTTTCCTATACACTGTATAGCCCCTTGAGACAAATGTTGAATATGTGTCATATTGGGCTATATACTGTAAATACAATTTGATTGATTGAAATAGCTTTTACTGACCGTCATTCTCAGTGGCGTGCCCGATGTCTTCCAGCGGATCAAATGGAAACATGGCTGTGATCCATCTCTGCTTCCCACTCCTTGGCAGACACAAATAAGGAAAGTTAGGGCATCCTGTGCTAAAGCATACTGTCGGTACTGAAGCTAAATGTTTCCGTTGTGACTCACTCGGTGTTGGACTTGAGCAGGATCTGGTGTTTGAGCTGCTGGCGTTCACACAGCTGCAGGTGGAAGATGAAGCCTGAGATGCCCTGCAGCTTCTGACTGAGATCCTTCACTTTCAGCTCTCCTATCTTAGCGTAGACAAACACCATGAACTTCCACGTGCTGCAAGAAATACACAGTTTTATTATCAAAATCACTAAGAATGTGCTTTTAAAAAATATATATTATTAACTGAATCTTTGAAGCCACCATGTGTAGAATTGTTTTGCTGTTTAAGCATTTTCTTAAGTCATATTGATGGTGTATGGAAGTATTCTATAATATTTTGTTACATGTAAAAGTCCCGCATTAAAAAATGTAACGAAAGTCAAGTTAGTAAGTTTAACTAGGAAATCGTACATAAAGTAATAAAAACAGTCTAATAGTAATCTCGTAAACAAATCATCACCAAAATGTGTTTTTTAATTAACTAGATAATGAATCAAAATAATTGGTTGAGTAGTTTATTTGAGAACAAAACATATTTTATAAAATATTGGTCTGTTTGCATGCAAAAACATTTTTTAACAACTACTACTAGTATTAACTGAACATGTAGATGAATCCAGTAAAGTAAAAATTACTATATTTATTTTTGCTGAACACTAATGCAGTCTTAATGTGGGGTGTGCAGTCTTTATAGAGGGCAGCAATGATTGGGACCCCCATTTCTCTTTAAATGTGCATATATGGACTTACAGTTTAACTTTCATTCAACCCATATTCTAAAATGCTGCTTTTGACCTATTATGACTCATTAAACAGTGCAATGTTATTATTAATATGTTTACGATCTCTTATAAGGACTGCAATCACTCACTCCTTCCTCCTGGACAGCAGCAGACAGTCATTGAACAGGTGGAGGTACACCGGCTTGGTGGGCAACTTGAGCTTTGATCCAGAAATACTCATCATCTGCGTGTCCACCTCCAGCAGCTCTCCGTGTTTCACCAGCCAGCGGGACTGAGAGATCAGAGGGAAGATCTACCAAGGAAAGAAAATAGTTCCGGAATATAAAAGATGCTAAATGTTAAGAACGCAGGTTAAAAAAAGGAAAGACAATTCATAAAAGTCACCTTTCCCTCAAAGTTGATTTTCTTATTGAGGTGAATCAGTTCCTCCATCCTCTTCATCGACTGCACGCTGGAGTTACATTCTTTGATGATCTAAGAAGACGCACACCAACATGGTTATTACTGTAATGCCTCACCACCGTGGATAATACTGGTGCTCATCCAACTGGCTATTACAGATGATAATCACCACCTTTTTTAGCTCATTGAAAGCTTTCGTGGCATTGTCCTCATCTCGGGAGCCCGGTGTCGTCCTCTTTAAGATGTTCTGAAAAATAAAGAAGTTTTTGAACCAAAAGAGAAAGACAATACTCTGTTGTTGGATAAAACCTGCTCTAAATATCATCCGTAATTGGGTTTCAAGTGCGGACATGAATCCTGCATAAATGTCTAAGCGTGTACCTCCACCAGCATTTTCAGCCGTGTGATCCTCTGAAACGGGAGGATCAGAAAAGAGGTGAGAGGAAGTCTCTGACAGACGGGGTCCTCCTCCAGACGAGCCAGGATCCCGGGGAAGCGAGGGTTCTCGTGCCTGAGAGGACAAGACGAGACACTTTAATGATTTTTTCTCGAGAGGTGAAGGTACATTCCAGCGTGAAACATCTGCAAGTTAAGTCATGCAGGTGTGAAATAATATCCGAACACCCTGAGAGGAAATGATGGACATCCAGACAATTGGATTTTATGCACAGCCCTGGATACATTAATATATATGTTAAGGTCTCAAACAGCTGATATGGTACACATGTGATGAAAGCGGTAACTCACAGCAGACGCTGGTACGTCTGCTCCTGGTACGCCTGGTTGGTCACATAAGGTAAATAAACCCTCCGCAGGGCCGGGCAGTGATCCAGGACGATGTCGCACACATCGAAACGCAGAATGTCTTCCTCCAGCCTGTGCTCCAGGTCCTGAAGGAACCTGTGCAATAGCAGAAAACCCCTTTAGAAAAAGGACATGCTCTGAGGTGTTTAATGTAGAATTTGAAGGGGCGTTTTTCTTCACCTCTCACTGACGCCTTTGACTTCAGGAAGCTTCGAGAAGAGCCACTGCTTGTTCTGAGCCCCGATACACTCTGCGAGCTCCTGCGACAACATGAAGTGGTCCACTGCAATGGTCAAACTGCGAATATACGACGCCTCTGATGTCACCAGCTCAAACTTGGCCTGAGTGTAGTGATACAGGGTTTGTTAACCAGTCGTTTAAAGCACATCAAACAAGCAGGAGGTCTCCTAAGTCAAACTTACTTCCTGTAATTTCCGCTCCTCGTTGCTGAAGTTGTCGAGCTGGCCGCTGGAGCGAACATCTGGGATGTCCTGCCAAAGGGCAAAGGCAGAGCCTTGTGAGGAGCGGAAGGAGCTGGACGGGGACAGATTGGACGGAGAGGGGGTCCCGTCTGACCCCTCGTCCCTGAGACCCTCCTCCTCTGGGCCAGGCTCCTTCCCCTGCTGCCTCTGGATCTCTCTGTTGATGGCCACGTCGCTGTATTCCTGGTACAGGATCGCTGCGGGAAAGTAAAAAAGGATGTGATAGTTTAATTAATTAAAATATATATATTCCTAGAGGAGAAATGTGTTTGTTACATCAACACAAAGACAACAAACGTACAGAAATTCAACTAATAACAAATGAGAAAGAATAAAATATGAAAGTAAATCAAAATCCCATTATTATTATTATTATGCGCCGCTTTCCACCTTCTTCTCCAGTAGGATTCAGATGAGGGTGTTGCACTTGTACATGTGATGTTTGGTGTTGTTGTTTTTTAGTTTTGTTTCTTTCCGTTAACTGTCAAGTGGGAAATAAGTCTTTTTTGTGTTTCTCTTATTATCCTACGATACTGTTATGTTTGGCTGTGAATAAGTTTGGCTGTGAAAAATAAATATAAATTATTTAGTTTTTTTTAGAAAGGGGCAGGTAATATAAGATTATTTCCTTCTCCCTGCTCCTTTTCGGGTATGGTGTGTTTACAGAGACATGTTTTGTAAACAATTATTATACATTAAGTTTTGCATACCATGAACGGAACAAATAAAAATGAAATGAAATACATTAATATAATAGTACAAGATGATACAGTAAGATGGTCTTGGATATGAGATATAGTACAAAGGTAAAGTTTGTTTTATAACATAACAATATATGTAGTAAGAAATATTACATTGGATATCATTGAAACCAAGAGCAAGCAAATATAGAACATAATTGAGTATAATACAAAAGGTTTGATGGCAAAACAGTTCTGAAAAATTCAGGGAAACTTACAGCTAGGCAAAAACCGTGATAAGCGATTAACACTGGTGACGATTGGAAGTGTGCAGTCTTCCTCCAGGGATTTCTTTCGCATTCTGTCAAAATAAAAAGAGTGACCTGACATTATTATAGGTCCTTCAATTGTTGCTGTGTATGTGTGAAAATATACAAAGTATATTTTTACCCGAGTTTGGTGCTCCACCTATGCATGCCATTGTCGCTGCCTGACAGAGTGGGTGGGGGTCCTACAGGACTGTGGGGGGCGCTGTCACTGGAGCCTCCGGAGCTGCGGTGCCTCGAGCTGGACTTATCTAGAGAGGATAAAAAGCACAAGGTGTGAAGCAAGCCCCCAGGAAGTGCGCCGGACTCTGTGCCCAACATTCGTTGTGTCCAAACGGCGGTACTGCAACTTCCGTATCAGTCCATGACGTCACCTGGCCCAAAACAACTTTTTCCCATTGACTAACATGGGGAAAGAGACGTCTGTAAATCAGCGGATCATTTTTTTTTAAACTAAATAAACTACCCAGTATTAACTATTTTACAGCCCTTATTATAATCATTAAGTCCTTAAAGTTGTAAAATGCACTAAAAGCCGAATCTAGATTTATTTTCTCTCTCCATTCATTCTAGTGAGCCAAGAGCTGGCCGAGAGTGGGAGCTCGGGGGGCGGGGCTTAAGGGGCAACTCAACTGCGCATGCTCTAGCCAGGCATGACGGGTAATCTGTGACGTTTCGCTCTCTCAAAAGTTGGGCCATTTTGCCTTCATGCGCCAATGAGCAGCTCTCGTAGGAAAGAACGAGACCCCGCCTCCCACGCTGTATCCAGTTCTTATTATACATCCATGGTGGGGAGAGGTGGGGAAGAAGCAATCGTCCTCATGTTGTAAAGGTTGATAAAACATTAACTCAGTTTGAACTTTCATGGATGTTTAGTGACTTTAAGATTCTTAAGAAGTGAAAATACAGCTTCTTGACATAATAAGCTTTTTCAAGCTAGTTGATTACTGTTAATCTATCAATCTTATAACTATATTATTTTCCCTATAATGTTTCAAATATTTGTATACTATATATACAGTAAAGAGGGAGAGAGTATTTCCATTTCCATCAAATCTGATAATAATGTTCTAGATCATTGATAATTCTGCACATTTTTTATTTTTTAATCTCTATATAATGCCATTTTTCTTTCAAGAGTTGTTCCTCTGTGTTAGATTTAATTTAATTTTATAGGCATGGATATTAAATCTGTAATGTTTTGCTTTGCTTTGTTTAAAGTGAGCTCAATAATCAATCATGATGTTATGAACATAACGTATCGAATCCTTTTTAATTGTCAGGATATAATGACAAAAAATTACCAGCACAAATACCCAGAACCATAAGTAATGGCATCCAATTGTTTTTTTTATCAACAGTCCAAAATCAAAATATATAGCATTTTCTGCCATTACAAATTAAACATTAATTGACAAAATATTTCAGCAATAAAGTTAAGAATTATGCAAGACTAGGCACAATACGTTAATGGATTATTTTTTTTCATACTACAGTTGGGTATTTATTTGAAAAAGGTTTTTATACAACAACTACTTGCTAAGCTGTGTTGATGGAACCACCTCTGATTGAAATGGACCGTGATGTTGGACCTGTTCTGGACTCACAGTCAGCGTTGGGCCCGAGGGTGATGGTGCTCTGTCGGTCTCTGGAGGCCACTCGAGCTGACAGAGACTTCCCCAGCTTCAGTGTGAAGGAGCTCTTCCTCTGAGACAGCTGCAGTCTAGAGATCAGCTCTGAGGCCGAGAAGCGCCGTCGCTCCTGATCCCCCTGACGGCTGCGGGACAAAAAGCTCCCCCCTGTGGCACTGGACGGCAGTGAGTCCTCTATTATGTGTAGGGGTTCTTCAGGTAGATTAAAAATATCCTCCTCACTGAGGTTTGGGAGATCTGAGAAGCCGTCTATGGAGGAGGGGCTTGAAATGGCCTCCAGGGAAGATAATCTGCTGAGGTCCTCCTCCAGGAAAGAAGCAAAGGGTCCTGGGAAGAGGTAGTCTGCGTCCAGGATCGGGCTGCTGAGGGATTCATCGCTCGGGCTGTCTGGGGAATAAATCTGCATCTTTCTCCCTGGAAACAGGAAAATAACTCCATGAGATTAAGAAGAATCATGTAAAGAGTTAGGTACCACTTTATAAAGACCTTATAAAGGATTCATAAAGGGTTTATAATTAGGTTGTAAACACTTTATTAATTATTAAGAACCATTTATAAACCAGTTATAACATACATCAACACAGGCCCACTATTTGGCAAGATGACTAAGCCTTATATTCAGGGGTGCACATAACTGGTACGCAGGTACGCATGCGCGGCAACAATCTGAAATGCGTACCGTCACTTGTGTCACAAAGCGCATTTGCGTACCGACGTACTTGTGAAGCTTTTCCAGAAGGTGGTTAGATCACCGGACGACAGAGTCGGTCTCCGTGTGCACAGACAGGGCTGCTGTTAACGTCGGTCTGTACAGCAGCCCTGCGCTAAAACAGCTGATCACAACGTTCACACGCTCCGCAGACATGAAGCTCTGCACTCCACTACCACCCCGTTGACAATCGCCAGAAGTTGGAGTACCAAACACTGACTCCAGGTACTCATCTGAGTACCTCACTGGGAAAGTTGTGTGCACCCCTGCTTATATAGCTTACCTCGTCTTCTTCATCAGCCAGCATCCTTGGTATTTTTGTTCACTGAGTTGATTCCCCCTTCCATCTTGATGTTTCTTGGCATCTCTTATGACCATTTATTTACGAGTTACTAACATTTATAACTGCCAAAAGGGAGCCTTATTGTAAAGTGTCAAACAAATCACCATTTATTAATGAGTTACTACCATTTATCATTTGTTTAAAGGGGACCTATCATGCAAAATGCACTTTTGTACGTCTTTTATACATGAATATGTGTCCCCGGTGTTCCAGGGAACTCACCAAGTGTCAGAAAACACAACCCTCCATATCCAAATCTCTAAAAAAGGGTCTGCAACGGATCTGATCAAAACTGATCCAGATTTGAACACTGTCCTGACGTCAGGACGGTGGCGCTACGGCTATTGGGCCAACTCCACCAATCAGGAGGAGACAGCCACAGCCATTGCCGTTCGAAAGCGCTGGAGACGCTGTAGTACATATGCCAGGCCTGTAGATGGTGCTGTTCTCACAGAATCAGCCCTTGCAAAAACAGGGGTAAAAAAGTGCAATTTGAGCTAAATGAGGCATGGCTAAAATGCATGATCTGTTTGGTATTTTGAAAAAAAAAAAGTATAAATATGCCTTATATAGGTATGGTCCTACACTATATTATTATAATATAGCATGATAGGTCCACTTTAAGTTATATTAAGCCTTAAAGTTATGCATAAATTAGGGCGTGGTCACATTGAGTGACAGCTCTGTCCAGTGACTGCTGTTGTTAGCTTCCTGTCTCTCTGCTAGCAGCTCCGTGATGCTACAGGGGCTCTGCTGCTCAGCTCATCCGGGGAACATAACTTGAACTCGGCCGTGTTTGTTGTGATGGTGCCTTGTGGACTATTCTTCATGCTTATATCGGACTATTGTGACTCGCTCTGCGGTTAAAACAGACGGTGCATGAATGCGGTTTTGCCGTAAGTGAAATTTGAGTACTTTATTTATGTGTTTATGTTTTTAGTCAGTTAACGTTAATGAATGTTAAGGCTTGGGTTAGCATGTAGTAAGCGAGTGGTAGCTACATCTGTGCTAACGATGCTAATAGTAGCCTCCAAGTTAAAACCTAATAGAGAAGTCTTAAGCATTAAGTGGGATAATACTGTAGAACAAACGGCTTCTGTTTGAGGTTAGTAAAATAAAGTCATCCTTGTAAGTTAGAGAGATATTTTATTATGTAGGTAACTTTATGCATTGATACAACCCAGTCTCACGGCATTTCGTGTTATAGTCACGAAATTAATCTATTGATTCGTGTTCACCAACACGATTTCCCCATTTTTTTCGTGTCACACAGAACGATTTTAAAAGCAATGTAAATAATAACAAATTAGAAAAGAAAAAAAGATTTAAAAAAATAGAGATTTCAGTATTCTGAGGCTCTGGAATGATGGGAGTTAAAGACGAAAGGCGGAAACTAGTGGAGAAACGATCAAGATGCCACCTTGTCCCTCTGATTAGACGGCATGTTAAGTCAAGAAGTAGCATTATTAGTGATGAGTGGAGAGCATACAGGAGAGTGCTGAGTAACATGGGGTACAACCACTACACCATAAACCACAGCAGGTAGTTTGTGAACCCCCAGTCATACCCAACATATAGAAAGAGGTAGGTCGACCGTCAAAGGACATGTCCGTAGACTGAGAGGAAACCGTACAGAGAGTTTGTTGGAGGAACACCTCAAGGTTCTTGAATGGTCATCTTGGCTTGGCTCTGCTCACCCTGATGGACTGCTTGGACGCTTGTTCAAGGATATACACAAAGCCTTTCCAGTCTGAGTACCATTATGTCTTACCAAGTCTTTAATGTATGTCTGAGAAAAGCTTTTATGTTTAAATATGTGTATCATTCATACTAAATAGTAGGGCTGTGCAATTAATCGTATTTTAATCGCAATTACGATTTTGGCCTGCCACAATTACGAAAAGAACATAATCGAAAAAAACAATTATTTTGCTTTTCTAGGTTGTGACAGTGCACTGCAACATATTTGATCTAATTAATTTTGGTCTCATTTATTTGTATTTATCATATTTATATATGTTACGTAGCTTGTGGAAGTGCGCTCCAAAATATTTGTTGATCTTGTTTATTGGTATTTATTATTTTGATATTATTTATTTAAATGTATCATTTATTTTTGTATTGGTTTTTCAGTTGAATTATACGTTCAGGGTAATCAACAGTTAAAAAGATACTGTTCAAATTATTATTTGTATTTGTTTTAAAGTTCAATAAATGGATTTTTTCAAAGTCAATGAATAATCGTATTTAATAATCGTGATATCAATTATTGACCCAAATAATCGTGATTATGATTTTTGCCATAATCGCACAGCCCTACTAAATAGTCATTACTTTGAGTCCTAATTTTCTTCATGTGTGAATAAAATGTTTTGCTTGGCTCTCTTGCATCTTACTTTGCATTTCATGTGAAAAATGTGTATTAGGTAAGCGTGAATGTTATAACTCATTCATACATGGACATGTGTATTAAACTTTAAAATAACGCACCCTTTCAGTAGTTATAAATGTTAGTGACTCATCAATAGATGGTGATGTGTTTCACACTTTACAATAAGGCTCCCTTTTACCAATTATAAATGGTAGTAACTCATTCATAAATGGGAATGTGTTTCACACTTCACAATAAGGCTCCCTTTCGGCAGTTATAAATTTTAGTAACTCATAAATAAATGGTCATAAAGAGATGCCAAGAAACATCAAGATGGATGGGGGGGGAATCAACTCAGTGAACAACAGATACCAAGGATGCTGGCTGATGAAGAAGACGAGGCAAGCTAAGTAGCCAATATAAGACTTAGCAGTACAGATAAATGTGGGCTCACTATTTGGCAAGCAACCGGTCACAGTTGCCCTGTTTATCTCATGTCTTATAAAAGCTTATTAATGATTTATAAAGTGTTCACAACCTAATTAATAATTTAATTACAAACTATTCGTAAACCCTTTATAAAGGTAGTCTTATTGTAAAGTGGTACCAAGAGTTATTATAGTGTCTCTGAAAATGACAATTTTTGTATAGATTACTCATACTGTGTTTACCTTGAATTATTAAAGAAAACTTAGTTTTTCTTGCACACCTACAGGTACAATAATGCCAAACATATGCATTTCCACTAAAATCACACTATTTTAAACACTTTGGGTTCTTAAAAACTCACAGTGCACCTGTGAAAGCGAGACTATTTACGCAAAAGGTTTTAGCAAAAATGCATGTGCAGGTAAAGTCCTTAAAATAAACCTTGATAAATGATTATATTATTTTTCAAGACGTATGAGAGTTGGTGAACGGATGATTTGATACGATTTTTCTGTAAGATGCGGACCACTTTTAGTTCAATTCATCAAGACTTTTCTGTTTTTGGATTCTTCGTTCAGTGTGGAGGTATTTGAGAAAAACATGCTTTTCTTAAAGAATTCAAGGTTAAACTGGGGGGTGAATAATATATATTGAAATAATGGTTTTGTGTATGAAGTATTCTTCAAGCCTGATTTTCTTTTTTCAAGTGTCTCCATAGTGAAAAAACGTTGCCTACTCACGCATAGACTTCTCCTTCAGTGAACCCTGGGACGTCCTCCTCTGAGGCTGGCAGGAGTCTGGGCTTCGACACTCCGGACCCTCAGGTAAGGATGAAGAGCAAGGTAACTGAGATTCCCAGGGGTCTGTGTTTGTGTAAAGAGAGGACAAAGGGAACGGCAGATCGAGGCTAAGAGCTGCGTGGAGAGGACGACATACTGTTGTGACAGAATGAGGCTTTTCTGTCTGCTCCTGCAAAGAAGTCCTGATGCCATTTAGACATTCAAACTCACAGTCACCTACAGATGTGTGACAGTTCAAATTCAGCGTTGTTTCCTGCTCATTGTCTGTCCTGTGGCAGCCCTTCTGCATGTCATTCAGTTCATTCAGTGTGTGTCTGAAACCATTCAGGGGCCGGGTGTGTGTAGTGCATTGTGCCTCTGGAATAGCAGGGGGCCTCAGAGAGCCAAGACAGTTTAGTTTAGGAGTCACTGGTGGTTGCAGCTCAATAAAGGCCAATGTCTCCTGCTGGCACACTGCTACATGCTTGTGGTGGCACGGGTGGAGCAAAGTCCTGTCCTCCTGGGCCTCGCTCAGAGCCTGGGACTCCCCCGAGCCAGGGATCCACATGCTGGGACTCTCTCCTCGGCAGCGAAAAGCGTGAAGGTGAGGTTGGAAGTCAGGAAAAGGTGAGAATCCATACCCAGGAAGCATGGCTGAACGAACACATGGGAGCTGCAAAAGAAGAGAGGGAAAATAAGTGTTCAGTGTTTTACTAAAAATGCTTGTCTGTTCCAACAGGCCCCTACTTCACAGGATCTTTATTATGGTTTTGTTTGATTTATTAATACTTGTTTGAATTATTAATACTTTGATTTATTAATACTTGTTTGATTTATTAATACTTGTTTGATTTATTAATACCTTATTAAACCCATTTAAATGCACATTTAGGAAATCAATGACATTTCTTTAAATGTATCAGTGTATTCCTTGATGGCAATAAACTCAACCCTTTGAAGAATATAAAAAAACAATGATGTAACAATAACCTTAACATTTTACATTAATACTGTAGGTTTAAAAAATGGTGATTTAATTATTTGTATATATAAAATAAACACTTATACATACAGCCTTATATAAACATTAAAGCTATTCTAGGAGTACACTCATTTCCTAGTAAACAGATTATAAGTAGTTGAGGCAAAAATGTATCAAATCCTGGAATAAATGAAAGACCTGGTCACTAAAACCAGCTGTGTAGGTGAGGAGACTGGGTTTTAATTACCTCTATGTATTCTGTAAATGCCTCTAAATCGAAGACACCTTTCTGAGATTACTATTTTAATATTGATTTAAAATATTGTTTTTAATTGCCATATTTCATCAGTTTTGAAGATTCAAAGTTCATATAGACAAAATGGGTAAGGAGGGTTGAACATCAAAACCCTCTTACACTAACCATATTTGGTGGACTGGACACATTTTACTGTTGGCAACTTGGCTCAGTGATGCTGTTACACATTAAGTTCAGTTATAATTAACAGTTAGTAGTGTTGTGTTAGTTAAATAAACCACTCAGACAGCCGGTTGATTTTGAACTGAAGGAGTTGGTGGAGGAATGACACACACACACACACACACACACACACACACACACACACACACACACACACACACACACACACACACACACACACACACACACACACACACACACACACACACACACACACACACACACACACACACACACACACACACACACACACACACACACACACACACACACACACACACACACACACACACACACACACACTTAAGTCTAGTGTCTCCTGATCTGTTTCTTCCTGCTCTAATTAAAGACCTCTACATATAGCATTCAGCCCCTGTACTTAACACACACACACACACACACACACACACACACACACACACACACACACACACACACACACACACACACACACACACACACACACACACACACACACACACACACACACACACACACACACACACACACACACACACACACACACACACACACACAACCAAGACACACACCCAGACAGACAGAGGAAGAGAGCACATCCTCAGCACTCTCACCTTTCACCTGTGATCCATACTCATCCATCACTCTGGCTGTTGGTGTAGATTCCTGTCAGCTAATGTTAGCTAGCAAAGCACACACACTTCCTGAAAAGATAATCCTTAACTTCTGACTAAAACACCAGGTAACAGGAAGTGTACAAATAACACAGATCTTATCATTTGAAATACTTTAAGTCCCGAGTCTTCCTCAACCATTGTGTTTTCCTGGAGCAGTAAGCTATCAATTGTAGCATTTAGCCTATGAATTAGCCTCAATAGCTTTTTTTTAAGTTGATATCCGGTCTGAATGTCAGGTTTTAACTGTGTATCTGTTTTTTTTACATTTGTTAAGAGGGTACAGACAAACACTCACACACAAAGGCACACAGCTGTCATTTAGCCACTCCCCCTTTTATGTAGAAGAGGTCATTTTTAGTCCCTCCAAAGTTGTTTAAAAAACAAAAAGTATAAAGCTTAAAGCTAAAGCTAGCTTAAGGTCTCTTAGGTCATATATCGTCATATATCGTAAATCTGTTGCTTTGTAATATTGAACAAAGTAGACTGGATTCACTGCACAATAGGTAAGCTTAGCCACATTAGCTTAGAAAAGGTAGCTATGTTTGCCCCCATGCCATACAGCACAGCAGTTCATTCTTGACCTTGTGAACATCATTCGATAAAAACACATTACACTCAGCAGCTGTTAGGGAGTTTTTGTCATATCACATGTTGTTGATCTGACTTGCAGTAGATGTTCACATTCCCACATTTCTGAGCACTTTAAACATCTAGTCCGTGTTCAAATTTGAATCTTCACAAATAGTAAACAAAAATAATTTCTTTATTTGTAAGCTGTTGCTAAAAGCAGTAGTAACACTCTCTGTTTTTCTTCTCTGTGAGCAACTCTACCATTATTTTTGTGTGTTGCATTTTGGGACAATACGACCAATTTGTACTGTAACTGTAAAGTGTGCAATGTGGGGTAAAGAGAATGTCGCACTGGGTGAATGTTAATTTGTAACCCTTTATCTATTTGTACTACAACAAGAGACTGCAGGCTCTTTGTCACAGATAATTCTAAAAGAAATATACCCTCCAGAGTTTTTTTTGTAACTAGTGTTTAACTCTACTCATCCTGACACATTGTACATCTTTATGATATTCGTATATTTTACATCATAGTAAGTAGTATCAAATTAAAGTGTACACCTGTACTTTACATGAACATAGAAGCATCTCTTATGACGGCATACTTCAAGGTTTTTCTTGGCAGTATAACTTTGTTTATCAAGATTGGAGATTCACAGACTTGAAATAATAGTCTACCTTTCTTTTCTTTATCGAGCGCATTTGGGCTGTATGCTGTGAATATGAGGCTGTGGAAAAGCCACACCTGCTCCTGTGACTGCCCCACACACACACACACACACACACACACACACACACACACACACACACACACACACACACACACACACACACACACACACACACACACAACACACACACACACACACACACACACACACACACACACACACACACACACACACACACACACACACACACACACACACACACACACACACACACACACACACACACACACACACAACACACACACACACACACACACACACACACACACACACACACACACACACACACACACACACACACACACACACACAGACACAGAGAGTAGAGTGCAGGCACAAATGGTTACCTGTTCCCTGATGCAGACAAAGGCAGCCTTTCTGTGTGTACCTCCAGGCCAGGCTGTCCCGAGAACACAGGACACCTGAGAGGGTGTGGGAATTGCTTATACTGATCCACTCATATAGTGCAGCTACTGAGCCATATAAACACATGCAGACCCCTGCTGCATACTGACACAAGTTTATTAATGGTGTCTGGATGTGATTACTGGCTGGTTATACTGTAATCCAGCTGGAGATGTAAAATGTTAACCAAACTTTACATCTGCAGTCTCTCCTATCAGATTAAATACAATTTATATCCTTGTCTGCAGTGTCGTGTTTTGCAAAAAACATATATTAGGTTCCATGATTACCTTGTCTTTCAATGCTATCCTAATGAACCAATGTTTACATAATCCTCCATCAACAGCCAAGTCGTCATAAATCAATTGTAGAAAATTAGCTATCTGCTCATTTCATCAAGAAATCTCAAAGATCCCAAAAACTGACAATAAACCTCACCACCACATTTATCAAAACATGAAAGCATCCGATTACTTGCACTGCACATTCCTCACGCTGATACAATTATACCGCGCTATTAACATTTCAATTCCAAAGACGTGTAATTTCCCTCGTCACAGCAGGGTGTTATTTGTGACTGTTATGGACTTTGCTGCCAGTTTCCCCCCTGTAATTTCACTAGGCTGCTCTAAGACGCCATGTCTGCATACAGCACTTAATGAATGGCACCATGGTATGCCTTTAATGCCAGCAGCCGTACTAGGAGCATTTTTAATTGCGATATATTTCACCCTGAGGGTCTCAGAATAATCCTTCAAAGGAGTGTATCAGATACATTTGAGCACATATGGAGTGCTGATTCAGCTTCATGAAGGAGCCAAATGTTGTGTAATCGCATAATTAGATTAAGTTTCCTGCTTGCCAGGGGCGAGAGGAGAGTGTTAAACATGGATTCACTGTTTGTGGTTCATGGAGGTGAAGATAAACATTTCTACACTGTTTACTTTGGAGGTAACACTGCTTTATTAAAGAAGTAGTTTGAACGGTTTCAGAAGGCTAAATGATCCTAATATATCCGTGCCTGGTTTATTAGAGGTGTGTGTCATTGTGGGTTTTACCGTTAATAAATAACTCAACAAATATCTGATGAGATGTTTTAGCCTGAAAACAGCAATCTACTTTGTTAGGTATTTTCTTTGGTTAGACATCAATATATTGTTGAACCATCAACAGGAACCTTTCCAAGACGAGTTTGAACTACAATATGCACACTTTGCAAATTATTAGGTTGTGGTTATCTGAAGCCGTTTGGTCTCTTTTTGAAACGAAGAATCTGCACACTGTATCAAGGCATGATTAGGCACGATGTGCTTCGTTTTTGTTATCTTTGCCACCAATGGGTTAATTAAACAAGATTCAACTTCTTTGTAGAAGGGAAGAGACAGAAACTTGGCGAAGATCTCCACACTAAAGTTTCACCTTTATAGATCGCAGTGCCTAACTTTTTGACGAAATCATTCAATTCAGAACGTTTTTTTAAGATGTAGAAATTCATTACAACATGAACAATCAATAGCCTTACGGTTTAATTGTGCCAAACCGAGTTTACATGTGTATGTCTCCTCCCTCAAGAAGTCAAAGATTGGCACTAACTGTTCATGAAGAAGATTTAGATCTGAACACAGTGAATATTTAACAGAATAAAACTAAGCTTGTGAGATTAAATCTTGGTTTGCCACGACAGAAACGTTGTTAAAAGTCCAGTATTCTGTTATATGGCACCCAAACATTCAAACCTGTTTTCATCTTGACAACCTTTTTAACCTCCCTACTTACCTTTCCGGCGGCGCAAACATGGAAGTGGGGCAACACATATTTGTGCACTCTGATGCCAAAGCTTTGTTTCTCAGT